GATGTGTTGCATTCAACATGAGTCTTTGCCTCCTAGTTGACTAGACGAAGCCTAGACATTCCTTTTTTGACGATGTTCAAGCTTGTAGCAAGCCTACCTGGCACTTCATGTATCGACAAAAAAAAACAAAGAAACAAAAAAACATGAGTAAAAAAGGTATCTATTTTTAAAAATGCCTCATGTGTTATACGAAAAAATAATCAAAAATAAAAAATGACCCAAAAACAAAAACAGACGACCAGCAACAAGCGCGGCCTCAACAAATAAAAAAAGCCCGCAAAACAGGTGCGGCCCAAAAACAAAACATGTTGTACAGCCAGCAACAGAGGCGGTCCAAAACAACAACGAAAGAAAAGCCCACCCCGCAACAGGGGAGCGTTGCGAGCGAGCGATGCCGGATGCTACGATCGCTGTACCTGGGTGAAGAAAAAAAAACAGTTAGATGTGACATCCTTAAAAAACATCTAGATGTGAATTAGTTTATTTGAAGCTGCTGTCCGAACCAACAATCCCTCAATGGTGGCAGTGGTCCTTTTCCTAGCCTGTCATCACTAGTTCTTTCCTTTTTCTTTCATTGATCTCTCCAAGCCAAAAAAGCACACTATCATGAAGAGCAGAACTTGGCTCAGCCACCATGTTTTGTCGGTGAGGAACCGACCTCCTCTGCAAGAGCCCGTCCGCCTCTGCAAGCAGCACCTTTTACATGAGCTGGACTGAGAGCCGATGTGGCAGCTGGGGCAGCCATCCAGCATGTAGCGCTGGCCATGCCCTTATGCACACGATATGCATAAGTGGTCCTTAAAATCAATCTTAAAAAGTAGTGTTCTTTATAAATCCCTTAAAAAAGGTAGTAGTCCATTAAAAAAATACATGTGCTGAAAATGCAAATCTAAAGATAACCCCAAATAGCCTTTTAGAGACTAAAGAAATACAAATTCAAAATGGGTACTAGTGTTCCACACTCAAATTTTGTTGATTTCTTATGGTGTCAAATACATTTGATTTTGATCTTAAAAATCTACAGATCTGCAAACAAAACACGTCCTCGGCATACCGTATTGGTTGAACCTTGTTTTTGTTACAATACAATATTTTTAAAATCACCTCATGTACACTGTAAGGAAAACAGAAACAAGAAACCCATCAGCCAGGCCGGGTCAATGAAGTCCCGGCCAACCGTAGAGAAGAAGCCGATCAATTAAGCTGTACCTTACACACGTGATATCGTGCCTGAGCTCACGTGTTACAACCTTGATAGACTGACAGGGACACATGTTGTGAGCCGGCTAATTAGGAACGCAGAGAGTACGCTACGTACGTACGAAACGAAGCCATATTGCGGGACCATTTGCATTTGGAGGTTGAGTGAGTGCATCCGCTGCCGCGTATGCATGCTTCATTTATGACCAAACAGAATCAAGTGCTGCACTGCTGCTTCACTGTCACGTAGTACCTGCCACGCACCCACTCACAACTTTCGCATTGGCCCCAGCCTATGGGAGATACAGTAGCACGTAGCGTCTGGACAATCGTCTCTTCGCTGCTACGTGTCGATATTTGCAACAAGGCTTCTTCTTGCAAGGAACTTTCTGCTAATTCATTGTTCAAAAGTACCGTATGTGTGTAAAATGGAAAAAGGCACCTTTCTAATATCGAGCCCATAGGCCTATGGGAGATTAGAAACTCCACGTCCATGGACGAAAGAGTTCTAATTAAAGAAGAAACACGAAAGGCAAATAGTTAAATGGCTTGGATTCTGTCTTCAGATTTGGAGAACACAAATGACTTTCTGAAGTTTTCTAACATGAGCGTACGCTCCAAACAAAACATAGATGTATGATATGACCGCACATGGAAAAGGATTAGACATCTTCAATAAATTCACATTCTTGATCAATCAATCAGACAAAGCACAGTAAGTGCGTAGTACTACTATATATTTCCCGATGCTTTTTTTCCTGCCACGAGATGCCAAGGCATCACTTTCCTGACCACACCTTCTGCTGATTAATTGTTCAAAAATATGCGTAAAAAATGATACAGAAAGAGTTCTAAAGAAGAAACACGAAAAAACTCAAAGAAGGAAGAGAAGAAACACGAAAGGTAAAGCATGTAGAACGGATCGCCTGTCTGAAATTTTTGCTGGCTGCTGTGTGCTGTGTTTGATTTTCTTTCATAAGAAGTAAAATGGTGTGAATTTTATCTTTTGATTTGAGGAATACAAATGACTTTCTGAAATTTTCTGACATGAATACTACACTCCAAACATAACTTGGTAAATGAATGACCGCACATGGAAAAGAATTAGACATTTTCAATAAATTGACATTCTTGATCAATCAGACAAAGTACGGTAATAAGTGCATACTGTTTCCCAACCCTTTTTTCCCCTGCAACAAGATGGCAAGGCATCACTTTCCTGGCTACACTTTCTTGTCCTGTCCACAGTAAGTAGAAAGACATCAACAGACGAACTGCAGGCTTGTCGGTTGCCCTGCCAAACATCTTGCACAACAGTTTTATCTGTTTCAATTCCTTTCTTTTCATTTTGCCAATTAAGTTACTGTAGATGAAATGCCACTGGTCTTGTCATGTTGGTGCAGCCGTGATTCATCCATTTGCCGAGCTCGTGGCCTACGAACTGCTCTTCTCGATCCCGATGATCGCCTGCGTTCTGACAGGAACTGCTTCCATCATGACGTTTGAGCTCTACATGCTCTACATCGACTTCATGAACAACATGGGCCACTGCAACTTCGAGCTGGTGCCCACCTGGCTCTTCACATGGTTCCCTCCGCTCAAATATCTCATGTACACACCATCGTAAGTACTCTACTTCTGCCAAAATAATCAAGCTGTTTTTCTGCAACGATTACATCTTATCATCTTATCATATGATCTGAACTTCTTCAACATCTTAGGTTTCACTCTCTCCACCACACTCAGTTCCGGACGAACTACTCTCTTTTCATGCCGTTCTACGACTACATATACAACACGATGGACAAGTCGTCAGACACGCTGCATGAGAAATCGATCGAGAGCAAGGAGGAGGCCGTAGATGTGGTTCACCTCACCCACCTCACCAGCCTGCAGTCCATCTACCACATGAGGCCCGGGTTCGCCGAGTTCGCCGCCAAGCCGTACGCCTCAAAGTGGTACATGCGGATCATGTGGCCTCTGTCCTGGCTCTCCATGGTGCTCACGTGGGCGTACGGTTCTTGGTTCACCGTTGAGAGGAATGTCATGGAGAAACTCAAAATCCAGTCTTGGGCCATACCAAGATACAATTTCCATGTGAGAATTATCTTGTTTTTTACATGTGCGGGAGCGATGGCTTGTGTCGGTTGTCGACAAATGACTAACCTTTTCGTTCTGCAGTATGGATTGAACTGGGAGAAGGAAGCAATTAATAACCTGATTGTGAAGGCAATATGTGAAGCTGACAAGAAGGGGGCTAAAGTTGTTAGCCTTGGACTCCTGAATCAGGTAGTACATTGTTTTCTTCAGCTGTCCAATCTTCAAACTAGCACTCCCTCCGTTTTTATTTACTTTGCATATTAGAGTTGACTGAAATCAAACTTCGTAAAGTTTGACCAAGTTTATAGAAAATAATATAGTCATTTATCATAATAAATCTATACGATGTGAAAGTACATTTAATAATAAATCTAATGTTGTTGATTTGTTATTGTATATCTTAATATTTTTGTATATAAACTTGGTCAAAGTTTGTAAAGCTTGACTTTGATCAAAGCTAATATGCGAACTAAGTAAAAACGAAGGGAGTATATGTCATCGTCTTAAATCAGGTGGAATACTGTGTATCAAACGTTCAACTATGTACTAACGTCTGAAGAAAAATCCTCGCAAAAAAAAAAGAATTCTGAAGAAAAAACTTCAGTTCACATGCTCATGATCTAGAAGTACTGATGCAGTGTAGCTAATGTTGATCAAAACAAGATGCATGTAGGGGAAATTTAGAGATGCAACATCGGTTGCTTATATAACAGATACCACCGTTCACAATATGATCATCATATCTTTAAACCAACAGGCCCAGAGCCTCAACGGAAGCGGAGAGCTTTATCTACAAAAGTACCCAAAGTTGGGGTTGAAACTGGTGGATGGAACCAGTCTAGCTGCTGCAGTGGTTGTCAATAGTATTCCCCATGGCGCGGACCAAGTTGTTCTTTCAGGAAACATTTCCAAGGTGGCCTGTGCTGTGGCTGCAGCTCTATGCAAGAAAAATATCAAGGTCAGATCAGAATATTCAGATCTTCTTCATTTTCCCTCATTTTAATCACACGGCGAGACGACGTATTTACACTAACAAGCAACTCTCTTGTGCAGGTGATAATAACAAACAAGCAAGACTATCATTTCCTTCAGCCCAAAATACCAGAAGATGCAGCTGACAACCTTTTACTGTCGAAAACCGGTATGGCCAAGGTAAGAACGAAGTTATGCATGTGTTTGTAGGGGGGCATCATATAACTATATAATTATTAGGAATCGCGTATGATCAGCTAATGGAACGGCTGGTCGAATTTCGCAGGTGTGGATAATCGGAGAAGGCGCAGATGCCACCGAACAGCTCAGGGCGCCGAAAGGAACACGGTTCATCCCGTACTCACAGTTCCCACCAAGAATGGCGCGCAAGGACGGCTGCACATACTCGACGACTCCGGCGATGAGCGTGCCTAAAACACTGCAGAATGTTCATTCGTGCGAGGTAATAACACGCTCCCTGAACCGCAACTCTGCATGTGCAAAGTACCTACTACACAACATGATCTAGCTGAGCTGACCGGTTTTAAAACATTTCAGAACTGGCTGCCGAGGAGGGTGATGAGCGCGTGGCGCGTCGCGGGGATCGTTCATGCGTTGGAGGGATGGGACGAGCATGAGTGCGGGGACACGGTGCTCGACATGGACAAAGTTTGGTCTGCCGCACTTCTGCATGGCTTTCGCCCCGTTGCTGAAGCTTGATCGTCTGGTTGCAACTTGCAAGTCGAGTGAATAAGCGTTACGCAGATAAGGATCTGGTTGTATCTTGTATGCTCGCTGGAGCCGTGCTGAGGAAGAAGGAGCAGACATACTGGCTAGCAGATGAGTGGCCTATAATTAATTAAGTACTACTACTAGTTTGATGATCTATGCCAAGGTTACTTGGTTAGCTATTACTGGATTATTTACCTCCTATGATAATGAGTTGATGACTTGGTTCGACCTATTTCGAGTGCTATCTGCCCTTGCGTCAATAACAGATGCAATTCAACGAAGAAACTAGTTAGTTGGAGGCTCAAATAACCCAAAAGTATCCAAACAAGGAGGGTTAGAGTGGGTTAGTTCCATCTAACCCAACTATCCTGATGGAGAGGTGCTTATTTGGGTTAGAGTGGGTTAGAAAATAACTCTAACTCTAACTGTGTTAGAGTATCCAAACAGGGTTGTGGGTGAGTGGTTCGGCAGTGTTTCAATTGACTCACAACTGATGTGATGTGCCGACGGTAGTACTTGACGGATGCAAACATTAAAAAAGCTTGACCAATTTATGATGCTCTCCGACAGACAAGACTAACTCGCTGTCAAGCTCTTTAGAAACATATAAAACGTGGGTGGCACCATAGCAGTGTATCACCGCGGTACTTGTATGAACAAAGACTTCTTCTCAATACTGTCGAACTTGAAGTTGTCTCTCGATGCTGGGTAGTATAAGAGCATCTACAATCAAAGCCCACATTGTGGCCCCCAAACGTCGTTGACCGGTCACTTTTTTGTGACTCAATCAGATCAAGTAAATCGGCCTATACGTAATTGACCGACTTCGGCGTGCTTACCTTTGGGCGGGTACTGACAAAGTCTCTGTAAGGTCATGCAAGATCAATTGGGACCCCGTCTGCAAGCCTAAACAGTTTGGTAGCTTGGGTGTGCTTAATTTAAATAAATTCGCTAAGGCCCTCCGACTTAGATGGCTATGGTTCGAGTGAGTGGACAAAAGCAAGCCTTGGATTGGCATGGGGTCTCCATGCACCAAGGACGACCGCAAATTCTTTGCGGCTGCTGCAATGGTTACAATGGGAAATGGGCGCACGGCCAGATTCTGGCACTCCCCTTGGCTGCATGGTCTCTGCTCCCGTGACTTAGCACCGAACATTTTTGCCATCTCCCGCAAGAAGAATTCCTCCGTCCGGCAAGCCCTCACCAACAACAACTGGATCTCTCTCATTGACACTTCCAATGGCCTATCGTTTGCACACGTCCAACAGTTTGCCGACCTCTGGGAGAAAATATGCATGACCTCTCTGAATGATGACATAGAAGCTTCCATCACCTGAAAGTTCACCAAGGATGGGGTGTACTCTGCTTCCTCTGCTTACAAGGCACAGTTTGAGGGACTCACATCGTCCGATCTCGTTCACTCTGCATGGAGGGTTTGGGCCACCCCCTGGTGGAAGTTCTTTGCTTGGCTAGTCCTTCAAAACAGGATTTGGACATCGGATCATCTCATACGTCGCAGCTGGCCAAACTGTCGCCTCTGCCCACTTTGTAAGCAATGCCAGGAGTCGGCGGCCCATCTCCTCTTCCAATGCCGCTTCACCATCCGCATTTGGAACGATATTCTTATGTGGCTTGGAATGCATCACATTTCTACGGCGATATGGCAGACGAGGACTTCGGTGAAAGACTGGTGGAACGGCAACCTTCAGATTCTGGCTTCCCTAAGGCGCTAGCCTCCTTGATGATGCTTATCTCATGGGAGATACAGACAGAGCGTAACGCTAGGGTCTTTCGAAACACGGCCATCCCTTCCATGGTCCTAATGTGTAAGATCAAAGAGGAGGTGTCTCTTTGGACAGTGGCTGGTGCGAAGCACATGAGTGTTGTAATGCCGCGAGAGTAGACCTTTTATTTTGTCGCCTTGCGGCCCTTGTTCGATAACTCCTTTCTTAATCAATGAAATGGCAAATCTTTTGCCTTGTTTCCAAAAAAAAACTAGGATGACAACAGGAGTCCCTTAGCTGCCATGGCAATGTTCGGTTTTAGTTAGCTTTTTTTAGCTTTCTGTTAGTATGGCTTGAGGACGTGGTATGTATGATCCCGAGGCGCATTAGTAGGCCTATTGGACTTGTCCCCGATCATGGGATGACACAATCAAGTAGAAGAGCTAGCTCTATGACACGTTTATTTTTTGTTGAGAAATAAAAGGAAGAGAGAAAAGCAGCATTCGGTGCGCTTCACAGCAACTTCAGCGTGTTTTCCTTCCCTGATCTTCTTTTTCGCATGTGTGTGTGAGAGAGAGAGAAAGAGAGAGGGGGGTGAGTGCTGGCAATTGGCATGAGAGCCAAGTCTGGAGATGGGTGGCAACGACAAGTGGAAGACCCCACTGTCTCCAAGCACCGATAAGTTAAAGTTCTACCAAAAAAATGAAAATTGTTGCATGGAAGGTGAGCTTAGGTGCGTTGGCAAGAACAAAGAATAAATTTGTACATCATCTGCAGAACAACACGTCATGCTTGTTATGTGGTAGACATGAAGAATCGTCTTTCCACGCTCTAGTGACATGTGATCCTGTGGCTAGCCTGTGGGATGGCATGTGCAAAGTTTGGACTCTGCCGAAGAAGGAGATGATGCGCGATACATGCCAGTATTGGCTGCTTTATGTATTTTGATGTGTGTCAGGAGAGCACAAGTAGCGTGATTATCCTTCTAATGTGGCGCATCTGGCAGGTATGGAACAGTGACATGCATGGGAAAGAGATCCTATGCTATCTTTACGTCTGTGGAGTTTTTATGTATGATTCCCGTACAAGTCGGGATGAGACTCTGGACTTTAAAAAAATAAAAGAGGCCAAAGAAGCCCAAATAAAAAAAAGAGGCCAAAGAAGCCCACCAAAAAAATAAAAAAAGAAAAAAAAAGAAAAGAAAAAATGAGAGAAAAATAGAAGAAATATTAAAAGGCAAGATGTAAATTATGATTGAACCAGTTCAGCCCAAGCCGAAGAACAATACTACCCCTAACCGGGACACCTTCTCGAGTGGGCTGGGTAGCACTCTTGGTTGATGGTGCATTCTCTCTGGAGGATGGAACATCAGATACATGTGTGATTTTGCGGCGATGGTACAATTGTGTTTGCTGCGTACAAATACTTATTTTATTGCACTGACATGCTGAAAGCGAAGATACATGCAATGATGCAAGACATGTCTTTTGCCCTGCAACACATTGAGCTCCCGGTCATCGTGCAGCCGGACTCGTCTACGTTGCTATTTATCTTCAGAGATATATCTCTTGCTCGCTCTTTATATGGTCATCTTGCTTTGGAGATCAAGGCGCTAAGAGAGGTCCGGGAGTTTATTCTACAAAAGATTCTTCATAGTAAAAAAAAACTGGCATATTGTTTGGTAAAATACAGCCGCACTAAATGTAGCAGAGCTATTTAACTACACAGATGACCCTGCGTATTGAGGATTTCTTGCCCCTTAACTGTAACTCCATATATTGAAATAAAACTTCTTTTACCCTGCAAAAAGTGCGCCCCTAGTGAGGATTCCCTCTGTGTGTAGTGCTGGACGCTATGAGTATCCAATAGGAGCACTTGGTCGGAACTTCCTATTCCCCGACATTGGCGGCACTTGGCACCAAATCGCGCACACCTCGCTCCCCTCTTGCGTGTTTTGGGCCGGCCCAGGTGTGGGGCAGTGCGTTGTTTTTCATTCCTTTCCCTTTTTTCATTTTCTCTTTTTTACCTTTTCATTTAAAAAGAAATTCAAAATTCGTTTGTGAAACCTCAAAAAATGTTCACAAATTTGTAAAAAATGTTCGTAAATTCAAAAAGTGCTCACGAATATGAAACCAATTCATGAATTGAAAACTTTCGAAATTCAAAATAATGTTTGCAAATTTAGAAAATTTTCAAAAATTTGAAAATTGTCGCAAACTTACAAAATGTTTTTGGATTCAATAAAGGTTTGCGAATTCAAAAAATGTTCATGGATTATAAATTCTCTGAGTTCTAAATATTCATGACTTTCAAAAGATGTTTGTGAAGTTCAAAAGAAAATGTTCGCTTATTTGAATTTTTCACTAATTCTAAAAAATGTTTGTGAGTTTGAAAAATGTTCGTGAATTCAAAAATGTGCATGAATTTCAAAATATGTTTGTGAATATGCAAATATTCAGAACTATCAAAAAAATCACGAGTTTGATTTTTCATGAATTTCAGTAAATGTTATGGAATTCAAAAAGTGTTCACGAATTATAAAAATTGTTCACGATTTTGATTAAAGTTCATGAATTAAAAAATTGTTCGTGATTCGAAAAAGGGTTCAAGAATTCTATAAAAGTTTGCGAATTTTAAAAAGGAAAAAGGTTAATATGAAATAAAAATGAAAACAAAAACAAATAAGAAATTACAACTAAAAAAGAAAGAAAAGAAAACAGACAGAAAACCACAGAAAAGACTAATACCCTGTTTGGATTATCGTTTCCATTTCAGATGCCCCTATGAAACTTGCAGACGTTCGCCCGTCGTTTGGTTGCCGGCCAGAAATAGCTCATGGCCGGTGAGTTACACCTGTAAATAAACTGCACTTGTATTTTGTTATATCAATGCCAAGAGCGGCCTAACGGGACGATCCATTCTTGCGGGCGGGGTGCGCGTTTGGTCGCTAAGAGTAATTTCAACGGGCTGACCCAAACGGACGGCGCTTTTGTTCGCTTTTTGTTCATTTGGATCGGTTCGGCGGACACAAGCGTCCGACGTTGTGTTTGGATCGACGCGAGCGCCCAACGCTGACCCGACCCATTTTGTCGGCGCGTCAAAAAAAAGAAGTATTGCGAGCAGTTTGAAAATAAAAACATGCATTTAATTAAATATAAAAGCCGGCCACGAAGGCCGAAGAAAGTCCACATTACATTAATAAAAACACTAAAACTAGACGACGCCCAGCCCTAGACGTCCTCGTCGGTGGCGGCGTCTGTGTCGGGACCGGTGAGGTCGATCAACGTCGGCGCAGGGCCGGCCCAAGGGAACATTGTGTTCCAGACGACGGTGATGTCGGGCTTTGCCGCCGCTGCCTGGGCCTGGCGCGCCTCTTCGTCAGCCTCGCGCTCGAGCATCTGCAGACGCTCGCCCTTCCGGCGCTCCTCGGCCAGCCGAACGCGACGCCAGTGGTCGGGGTAGGCCGCCTCCTGCTTTTTCGTCGCCCTGAGCCAGATCGGCGGAGCGCTGACCCCCTCGCGCACTACTCCGATCCAGAAGTAGCGCTCGCAGTAGGCCGGTTCCTCCGGCTCGTCTTTGGGCGGGGACGGCGGGGCCACCGGCGGCACGACGTAGTCGCCCGCCGCGGAGAGGGCCATCGCCTCCACCATGGCAGCCTCGAAAGCCGCCTCGTCCGCCTCCCTCCACCGCTTGTCCTCCACGCTCTCCTTGATGGCCGCCTGGTAGGCGGCCTCGGCCTCCTGGTCCTCATCGCGGACGACGAGTGCGGGCGGTGGAAGGCTGTGGTCGACGCCGCGGACGCCGCGTTGCCTCGCCTTCTCATGCTCGAAGGCCAACCATCGAGCCCAGTTGGGCGAGTCGACGGCGAAGTGCGGGTCGGCGCGCTGCTCCGACGTGAGCAACGTCCGCCGACGCCGCACCTCCTCCGCATGGGCCCTCGCCGTCCGCGGCATCGCTGGCATTGGGATCCTCTCCGGATCCAAATGCCAGTCATGCGGCAGCGTCACGTCCGGATACGGCAGAGGCACACGGTGGTGCCAGTGCCACTCGGCCTGGTGCAACGATACGTTGATGCGCTGCCTCTGCCGGGGAGCGCGCGCCGACACGGGGAGGGCGGGGAGGGAGGGGGAATGGCGGGCGGGGGCTTTGCCCTTGCGCTGCTGCCGATGCCGGAGAAGAAACCCATGCTGGCGGTGGGTAGGGTTGTCGCCGGCGTGGGGGCAAGGGTGGCCAGATGGGGACGGGGGGCAAGTGGTAGTGGATGAGGACGGCCCCGCCGCACGCCCGGCTTAAAAAAAGACGACCGCCGTCGTTGACGCGTGGGCCCAAGGTGGGCAGTCGTTATAAATTATGTTGATCGTGACGATTGGGTGGCTGCCAGGTGGGGACGCGGCGGACTGCGAGGAGATGCGCGTCGCGTCTACTTTGCCTTCGCGTTCGCGCCGACGCATTACATGCGCAATTTTGGACTGGAAATGGGTCGGCGCGAACGCCGGGCGGACACGATTTGAGTTTGTGTCGGCGCATTGAACCGCCACTTTTGTCCGCGCCGACTCAAATGAACGCGGACGGACGAAATGAATCGTCCCATTGGAGTTGCTCTAACGCCGACTCGCACGGGGAATAGGAATCGTCGGCTGTTTGTGTTGGTTGGATTTTTTTTACAAACACATGTAACTTTATTCATACTCATAACAATTATAGGTACACTAATTTTGATCTAAAATCTAAGAAAATATAAGGTAACTCCTATGACTAAGAATTACAATGATATCTCTTGAAAACACCTTTTTTACGGTATTAATCTCTGCTCGAAGAAATACTTCAAAAACTTCATTAAAGAGGCTGTAATTGGACTCGAGCAAAGATGTTTTCACTCTTTCACCAACACGAACATTACCAATAATGATTTTCGAAAGTACATTGAGTTGCCCATCCAAAAAGATGTGAATTCTTGACCGATGAATTTATTTGGGCCGAGGATGATCCTCTAGAAGTACAGGTCATCGAATCACTATATTTTTATCATGGTGTCAATGAAATTTTTGATCTTCACAAAGAACCAAACCAACAAAAAAATTAACACAACAATATAAACTCATCAGATCTAAATAATCGGATCTGCAAGGACAAAAAGATCTTAATCTCATGGCACCGTCAAAAGAACGGAAAAACTTTATTCTCACAAAAGTATGATGATCACTAGACATTAATGAAGAACATAAAAATCTTGAAAATCCGACATCCCCACTTTTCAGTGCCAAGATGGCAGCCGGAGGGGAGGAGACAGATGGAGACGGCGACGGCCCCACGAGAAGGTAGAAAACCTAACTGCTGCCGCGAAGCCAACCGCGTTCGCTGGAATAATCGCAGGAAAAATGAAAAGGCCGTTGTTTGACTAGATGGGCTGCCCGGCCATGTTGGTTGGGCCTAGACAAGCGCTAATATGTCCCAGCGAACACAAACCGAGCCACGCACACCATGATTCCACGAACCCTGCTAACGGCGGCGGCGGCCAGGCGGACGGCGATCGGGCGGTGGGCAGCGAGCAAGCGGATGCAGTGGACGGCACGGCGGAGGACGGACATCGGCTCACGTCCAGGGCGTAGCGAACAGCGGCTGCCGCCTGCCGCTTGCCGCCTGCATCAAGCGGACGGCGCGCCGGCCGGCGAGCACGGGTAGGACACAGCGAGCGGCGGGGCCTGCCAAGTGCCAACTGCATTAGGCGTACGGCATCGCGCAGTGCAGGTAATATAGTGGTTTCAAGAACGGTTTTGCTAAAGCACATCTAGATGTGATATAAGTATTGCGCATTTAAGTTCTATGTCATTGATCTTACATTAAAATTTGTGTGGATATTTTTTTTCTTTTTCTCTTTATGTTTGATTCACTCACTTAGATGTGTAATAAGTAGAGCACATCTTGATGTGCCCTAGAGCACATCTTGATGTGCCCTAGACACACCCTAAAAACTAATGTTTTTGAAAGAAAACAAACAAAACAAGAATTCTGCCTATCTGTTGCAGTGTTGACCACTGCACCATGACTAAAATATCATGACAAGCAGGAAGGGAGGATCTCACGTTCAGCTGAGAGATTGCTTTATGTGGTTTTCTTATTGTAGTTGCATGCCTTTGTCAATATTTTTTAAGAAGGGTGTATCTAGGGCACATCTAGATGTGTCCTAGTTATTGCATATCTAAGTGATTGAATCAAGTATAAAATGAAAAAGATAAAAGAGAAAAAAATATTTACATGAATCTTAATGTAAGATCAATGACATATGACTTAGATGTGCAATACTTATAGCGCATCTAGATGTGCTTTAGCAAAACTGATAAGAAATAAGAGGCTACTGCTAAGAGGCAAAAGTCAAAGAGGCTAGCCCTAAGAGGAAAAAAATCAAGCATAGGATTTGGAGTATGGACCATTTTGTGGTTACCTATTGCCGCCAACCCATTCAAGTGCAGTTATGTTGACACCAACGTAGGATGTTAGACCACCTGCTTGACATCCACCCACATAACGGGCCTATAAATCGAGTGGATACAGCGGTCATCTCGTCGCCACAGCCCACAGGTGGCAAAGAGCCATCATATCCATCATAGGCATCTCCTCGCTGAGTGGTACGTACGTAGCATTACCATCTAGCTTGCGATGGCTACGAACCCCGGCATCCTCAGCGAGTGGCCATGGAAGAGACTCGGCAGCTTCAAGGTACGTGCCTAGCACTAGCAGATTTGCACCACCTCGATCGCAAGCAATCCAACATATACTGTAGATGAGATGATGAATGCATATGCAGTATCTTGTGCTGGCGCCATGGGTGGTGCACGGGTGCCACCTCGCGGCGACCAAGGGGTGGAGGGAGCTGGACCCGGGCTACATTGCCATTCTCCCGTCGATGCTGCTCCGGGCGCTCCACGACCAGGCATGGATCACCGTGTCCCGCCTCTACAACGCGCGCGGGAAGCGCCAGATCGTCGACCGCGGCATCGAGTTCGACCAGGTCGACCGCGAGCGCAACTGGTACGTATATATGCACCTACATGGTCTTGTCGGTCAAACTTAGTTGGCAAGTGTGCGGTGCCTAGAGTAAAAGGGCCAATACACTAGTTGCATGCACCAATATAAGGTCGTCTATATACCTACGTTAAACATTCTTACTTTTTTTCGTGGGATAAAAAGCACTCTTACTTGAACATCAAAGATCAAGAATGTTGTTTTTTTAAAGATCCAGAATGTTGTTTTGTCTAAATAAAATTAGATAGCTGCACTTTTTAGAAACTACATAAAAAAATGCTAGCCTACCCCAATTTATTTGGGACTAAAGACTTTGTTGTTGTTGTTGTGATGCACTAATGTCTCACACAAATTATTTACAAATAGCATCTCATTTTGAGAGGTGAGGGCAACATGTACAATTAGATTGATTCAAAAGTAACATTCATATGTGTAATGCGCATGGTAGGGACGACCAGATCATCCTGAGTGCCATCCTGCTGCTCCTTGGCTCGCTGTACCTGCCGGGTGGGCAGAACCTGCCATGGTGGAGGATTGATGGCGCAGTGCTGCTGGTGCTGCTTCACGCCGGCCCGGTCGAGTTCCTCTACTACTGGTTCCACCGCGCGCTGCACCACCACTTCCTCTACACCCGCTACCATTCGCACCACCACGCCTCCATTGTCACCGAGCCAATCACATGTAAGGCCCCCTCGCATCCTCACTTTTTTTTCTGAGAATCAAGAGCTTTATTGACAAGTAGTCGAATTACATTCCTTCCTTACACAATCCACAAGGAACGCAATCCACAAGCACCGTCTTCTAGAGGTATTAGTACATCGCTTCGCGCAAAGATGCGCCAACTCATTGGCTTCTCCTGCCGTAAACTTTAGATGAAATTCCTCTAAATTCCAACAAAGCTTTTGTATTCCATGCACAGTAGCAGCTATCTGGGAACGTTCAAAGTTTCTAGCGTTCCACATATTCACCACCTCTTGAGCGTCGGTCTCAACTATCACCTTACGCATGCTAAGTCACATGCCAGCCAGACCCCATCTCGGATTGCGTGGGATTCCATTGCCATAGCGTGATCATACCAGAGCCTCCCCCTCCCCTCACGCCCTCACTTAACATGCTTTTTTCTAACGTGACCCTCACTAAACATGCTTATTAATTAGCCGGTGCGCTATCACATGGTGATCACCCCAGACTAGAGAGCTTGTTTAGTGAGGGTCACGTCAGAAAAGGAGAACATGATGATGCGCTTAACGTGGTTAATTAATTAGCCGGTGAGCTATCACATGGTTTAACCCCATCTAACACATGCAGGGGACTATGTTAACGAGTGCACTCTAAGTACTGGTAGTCATTAATCAAAGTTCCCAACCTCTCACCTGTTCTTTCAATATGTTTGAAACATTCAGAGGGTGACCGCACCAACAGTTCCAGACATAAGGAAAGCTACCGACACAGCCTGTAACACAACTAGCCGTACTGTATCGCTAGATTTGTGATGTTAAAAATGCTCCCATACCAAAAGTATGTGATTAATCCCTACTTGTAGGGTCTTCAAGTAGCCGATAAACTGATAAATTGATCGATTAATTAATTAACTTGCCGATTTGCCTATTAATTCCCTACTCGCCAGCCAATCGTGCAGCCAACAATTCCTCGACAATTGTAACAACTAGCTAGTATCTTCAGTGTGGAGGCAGAGCTCTACATGCTCCATATTATGCATCTACACTTCAAACAGAAGAGGCTTTATTTTTCCGCGATGGAGAAAAGGTAAGCTGACAATGCTCCATGCAAGGAAAATTGAATGGAAATTGCATATGCCGCACACGCCTAACGATGTCGGCCGAGGTATATCCGTGTGTATATATATATGTATACATATTCAGGCCAGCTTGCATGTGAAGATTACATCACGAGATTACAGGGATCTGGGCTTAACCGATTAGGAATATCCATAATCAATCACACTCAATTAGCTATACAGAATCATGTCACGATCATGTCTGCTAACACACCAGGCAATTAATTCACACAGTTGAAGAGATATATCAAGTGATCAACTGAACGTATAACAACAGCAAGCTACTCCCTCCGTCCCATAATATAAGAACGTTTTTGACACTCGTTTAGTGTCAAAAACGTTCTTATATTATGGGACAGAGGGAGTAGTAAGCTACTAGTTGCTATCCTTTTACTCACAAGGCCTTTCTCTTTCTGAACAAGTACATAGGGGCGGCTACCAACGGTATCTCTACCGAAAGACACAACTAGCCATCATACCATGGCAAATTTCTGTGTTTTGACCATTTTCTGAAAGTTAATCGAAATCTGACGGTAAGAAAAGGGTCAGATCCTGTAATTTTTGCAAAGCAGGGTCAGATCTCGAACAAGTTTGGAAAAAGGGTCAAAACACGAAATTTAGCCTCATACCGTATCTCTTTCTAAACGAGTACACCTAACGAGACATCATCATGTTATGTTCATGCAGCCGTAATCCATCCATTTGCCGAGCTACTAGCCTATCAACTGCTGTTCTCGGTCCCAATGATCACCTGCGCACTGACCGGAACCGCCTCCATAATCACGTTCGAGATGTATGTGATCTACATTGACTTCATGAACAACATGGGCCACTGCAACTTCGAACTGGTACCTAATCGGCTCTTCAAATGGATCCCCCCTCTCAAGTATCTCATGTATACACCATCGTAAGTGTTCAGTTACTGTAGATGTTACTCTGAAAAATTAAGCTTTTGTTTCCATGATTCTCAGCGTGTAATCTGCACTGTTGCTTCTAGGTTTCATTCTCTTCACCACACCCAGTTCCGGACAAACTACTCTCTTTTCATGCCATTCTATGACTACATATACAACACCATGGACAAGTCGACGGACGCGCTGTACGAAAACTCACTAAAGGGCAAGGAGAAAGAAGTAGATGTGGTTCACCTTACGCATCTTACCAGCCTGCAGTCTATCTACCATATAAGGACCGGGTTCGCCCAGTATGCCTCCAAGCCATACACTTCCATGTGGCAGTTGCGGATCATGTGGCCCGTGTCATGGCTGTCCATGGTACTGACGTGGGCATACGGTTCTTGGTTCACCGTTGAGAGGAATTCCATGAAGAAGCTCCGTATGCAGTCGTGGGCTATACCAAGATACAGTTTCCATGTAAGAATATCATGTTTGAATTTAATTCAAGAAGGAAACTGGTTTATATGTCGAGCAACTTTATAGCCTTTTCGTTTCTGCAGTATGGACTGAACAAGGAGAAGGAAGCAATCAATGACCTGATTGAGAAGGCGATATCTGAAGCTGGTAAGAAAGGAGCAAAAGTTGTTAGCCTTGGACTTCTGAATCAGGTATGTCATTTCTTTCGTTGTTCAGATCTCCCGTAATAGCACAGCTTGTAACTCACCACAATAGAACATCAGGCGCATAGCCTCAATGGAAGTGGAGAACTTTATCTGCAGAAATACCCAAAGATGGGGGTAAGACTTGTGGATGGCACTAGCCTAGCTGCTGCAGTGGTCATCGACACTATTCCCCGAGGCACAAATCAAGTTATCCTAGCGGGAAAGATTTCGAAGGTGGCTCGTAGTGTTGCTGCGGCACTCTGCAAGAAAAACGTCAAAGTAAGAACCAGCTACCCACATCTGCTCCAATTCAAATTCAATCATACACAGAAATAGATTTTTGTACTGAAATGTAACAAGCGGATCGTCTTGGGCAGGTCATAATGACAAACAAGCAGGAGTACCATCTCCTGAAGCCTTGTATACCAGAAAATGAAGCCGGGAATCTTTTATTATCAACAACTAGCACTACAGAGGTAAGAAGGAGAATTAAAAACAAGGGGCTTCTTATAGGAGATGAATAGGTTGCACGATGTAGGATAGCATAATGGCTATTTAACAAACCGCATTACTGGTTGGCCTCAATGTTTCCAGGTGTGGCTCATTGGAGAAGGTCTGGATGCTGCTGAGCAGTTCAGGGCACCGCAAGGAACAAAGTTCATCCCATTCTCACAGTTCCCGCCAAAGATGGCGCGCAAGGACTGCTGCACCTATGCTATGACTCCTGCAATGGGTGTACCTGAATCGATGCAAAACGTGCACTCGTGCGAGGTAATACGATCACGCTAAGCTGCAATCAACTTTGGAAGAGCCTCAGTACATCATCTACTATTTGCCATCTTTGGTTGTTTTCAGAATTGGCTGCCAAGGAGGGTCATGAGCGCGTGGCGCGTCGCTGGAATTGTTCATGCATTGGAGGGATGGAGCGAGGATGAGTGCGGAGATACAGTGCTGGACCTGGAGAAAGTGTGGTCTGCGGCAATTATGCATGGGTTCCGCCCTGTTGCACAACTTTGATGGTTTTGGCTGCAAGTCACTGCCATAATCTTCAGATAGCTATGCCATAATTAAACATGCTAAGGGAGAAAGGCACACATTACATTGGACGCCACAAATGTAAACTCCCAGTAGGTTGATCTGCTACTATTGGCTCTTCACTACACTATTTATCTTCTATGCAATCACACCGACAATGAATTAATTATGTATCACTATCTGTTGGATCAATAATGTAAGTCAATGTAGAAACACAGATGGACCATTTATGTGATCATTTTACATTTAGACTTGGGATTTTATTTTTCCGAAAAGCAGGTTGAAATTCCTGCCCCTCCGTTATTGTGATGCACACATCTGTTTTTACTAAATTTGATGCAAAGGCAACAAGTCCAAAGTAGTCAACAAGCAGGGTACATAACATAGACTAGTACTGCAGAACCATTACAAGATATGGCTCCACCTAGGACCAAGTCGACTTCTTCGACGCCTTCAAGAAGGGGTACACGCTTTGATGTTACCGTTGTCATTGTCGTTGCCAAGCGTGGCTGGCCACATAACCCAACATGTTTGCTATGCCAACAAACTCCAGAGCCAGAGACGGCGATGCACATATTGGCGAGCTGCCCATTTACGCAAGGGTTGTGGCTTCGAGTGCTTGACTTGTTGATGATGCCGAGCGACATGGCGCCACTGCCCACAGATGATACCCTCCTGGGCTGGATGACACGCACTTCGGGTAGGCTCAGGAAGGACGCCAAAAAAACTTGGAGATCGATCGGTGCGCTCATTTGGTGGTCACTATGGAAGGAACGAAATGCCCGTGTCTTCAGCCAACAAGCCTCTACGATTGATCAGGTTCTTTCCAACATACAGGAGGAAGCAAAGATTTGGATCGATGCTGGGAGACGTCGGGTGATAGCACTGATTGAAAGGCCAAGGGAGCCTGATTGAGGGTTAGTTTTGAAACAACAACAACACCACTATTCTATTCCCCAACCCCAACCTCCGCCAATCTTTGTTTACTCTCTGGTTACCCATTTGTAACCTTTTACTCCTTCTACTCGCAATGAAAGCAGCCAAGCTGCATTTCGTCGAAAGAGATTACTCCTTCAACAAGGTAACGACACAAGTTTGTGGTTGTTGAGGCTGACCAATGAAGGCCCAACAAGAGTTTTCACCTCGAATATGAAGCGGTGCTCCAGTCACCATCTTAATAACAAATCTTTCAATAGTCGTGTCGGTTAGTACTCTAGGCCAACTTGATCATAACATAATAGCCAGTGTAAATACAGAAATTGCTTCATAGTTGGTACTCTCTCGATTCTAAATTAATTAAAGTTGTAATCAACTGTGTCTAAATTGGACAAACTATATAAAAATGTGCTAACAACCAATTCCCCAGCTGGCCCTATCTACACCATGATATGTCTCCAACGTATCTATAATTTTAGATTGTTTCATACTATTATATTATCATTCTTGTATGATTCATATGTCATTTTATATTATTTTTATGGATTAATCTATTAAATTAGTGCCCAGTGTCAGTTTCTATTTTTTTTGCCAATTTCTTTGTTTCATGGAAAACCATACCAAACAAAGCCCAAACACGATGAAACTTTATAGTGATTTTTTCTGGACCATAAGAGACCCTAAAAGCTTCGGGGAGAGACCTAACGATACACAATGGAGCCACAAGCTCACAAAATGCACCCCTGTGGGTGCCATCAGCACTTGTGGGCCCCCTAGGCACCCCTTGACCTATAAATTCTCTAATATTCCAAAAAAAAACCCGAAGAGAGACTCGAAACAATTTTATCGCCGCCGCAAACCTCGGTTCTTCCGTGATCCCATCTGAAGGCCTTTTTCCGGAACTCTGCCGGAGGGTGGGGACCATTGGGGGGGGGGGCAATCTTCATAGACCTTGCTGCCTCCGTGATGATGTGTGAGTAGTTCCTACAGGACCTACAGATCCATAGTAGTAGCTAGATGGCTCTCTCTCTCTCTTGATCTTCAATACAATGATCTCCTCTGAGATCTATTCGATGTAATTTCCATGGTGTGTTTGTTGGAATCCGATGAATTATGGGTTTATGATCAGATTATTCATTAAAACTATTTGAGTCTTTTCTGAGATTTATCTTTCTGTAATTTCATAGCTATGTATGTTTTTCAATCTATGAGTATTCTTTGACCAATTAGATGAGTAGATCTTCAGAGGGACTGGTGCATAGTAGTGGGTTCAATCTTGTGATGTCCTTACTCTGTGACCGGAGGAGTTGCGAGGCACATATTGTATTGTTGCTACTAAGGATAAAACGTCGGGTTCCAACATATTGTTTGGTCTTACTATGTCTACATTATGTCATCGTGCTTAAAGCATTACTCTATTTGTCTTGAACTTAATACTTCGAGATGCATTGCTGGATAGCGGTCTTGGGTGGAGTAATAGTAGTAGATGTTGTTGGATTAACGGTCTACTTGTCATGGACGTAATGTATATATATGAATCATGCCATAAGAATCATAATCATAACTATGCATTATCCTATCAATTGCCCAATAGTAGTTTTTTTACCCACCGTTGTTATGCTTATGAGAGAGATGCCACTAGTGAACCTATGGCCACTGAGCCCATTCTCCATTATTACTAAAAACCTCGCTGTTTTTATTTTATTTTATTTGTTTACATATCACTACCATATTTGGTCCTTGCAATTGGCGAGAAGGGCATTGACTACCCTCTTGCCTTCGTTGAGCGAAAGCATTTGCTTTGTGTGTGTGTGTGTGTGCAGGTACCGTTCATGTTGTTTGTGTGTTGTCTCATTTTGGTTTGATAAAACTTGGTTCTTAACTGAGAGAAATACTATCTGCTACTATACTACATCACCCTTCCTCTTGGGGGAATCCCAACACTATTACAAGTAGCACACCACACAATGCTTCGCTCGAGTCCATGCATGTGAGAGAAAATAGTAAAGGAGGGAGAAAATGGTCACATTTATGCCTGTCTAGGACCCCACCCTGCGACACACCCCATGATAAATTCATCCATCCGGTCCCTCTCTCCCTCTCACTACTCTCTTCCTCTCTCCTTCGTTCTCTTCCTAACCTACCTGATCCAGGTCCAAAAAATTATATGATTGATAAAACCACAAGTGTAGGAGATTGCAATAATCTTCGTTGGTAAGTATGACAAGATAGATGTCATTAAGCATCAAACCCTAACAAATCCAATAACAATTACATAATGGATCTCATCTACCCCATGTGCCTACTGGAAATTACTCACACATCGATGATTCAGGCTCAAGGGGATTCTTGTTGTAGTATTGACTTCGACCCTACTTGAGTGAGTGAATTGCAGAAAATCGCCACAATGAAGCCTTGGTTTGTATAAAACACCGTTCTACGAATTTCTGCCGGAAAGCACTGATTCTGGGCTAAATCTTTTTCAGAAAACACTCACCCATCTCTTTGGGCATTTTAATCTCGTTTATCACATGCGGGTACCGTTTTTTATGAAGTGGCATAACGGTCGCGAACTAACGACGTTTGACGCTGCTGCTAGGTCATAATCGGCTCGGGTTTTTCTTTTTCCCTCCATCCTGATGTTCCCCCCTTTCCCCGTGCTTTCCTCTCTCTGTCTCATCCATGGCGACGGCGAGCACTAACACCATCGGCGATGGCGCGGGAGGGTTGCTTGGCGGCCGATATCCAAAGCCATCAGAGGAGGTATATGAGAGCTATAACCCTATCCAGGCGCCATAAAGCAGAGCGTCGTCGTTGCCGCTTTATTATGGTGCCACATGCGCTCTTGCCCGTGTTGTGCAGGCGATTTCGATGGGAAGCCACTAGTGGGCATCTTCATTCGGCGGTGTGGGGTAAGTTTTCTGCCCCTCCTTTACTATCGATTCTAGGGTTAGGGTTCTAAACCAAATTGGGGATTTTGGTTTGAACCAAACTCTAGGGTTTGGTTAGGGTTGTAATACAAATTGGGAATTTTGCCGTGTCAATTAGATGGTCTAATTTAAAGAACAATGTGTACCCTGTTTAGTAGACAGTATAATTCTAGTTATAGTGTTTCTTATTGACTCTGTTAATTCAAGTAGTTGGTATGCACTGTAAATTTAAATTGTTCATTGTTTTTGCTTGTAGTAGTAATGTACTATTTAATTAATTTTTTCATAACTTGGTATGGATTGTCTAGTTAAAATGGTTACCATTTTATGTTTTTATCATAGGTAAAGTGGCTAATGGTTAGCGTTTAATGTTTTTATCAGGGATATAATTTTAATGGTTAGTAGTTGGTATGCATTGTATATTAAAATTCTTCACTATTTTTGTTTGTAGTAGTTATGTACTGTAATTAATTATTAGAAATTTAAATAGTTGTTATGGACTATTTAATTAATGTGTAGTATCTTTGTTTGTAGCTTGTCTGATGATGTTTGGGAACTTAGACTCCACTTTCATGAGAGGGATAAATTGGAAAGGTCTATGTGTGTTTCATACGTCACCTTTCTCAATCTTTTAGCACTCATAGAGACCGTAGGAAATGGATATAAAGATTACATGTATTCTGTGAGGGATGCTGGGTTGGGAATAGCAGGTTTGGAAGAGATATGTGATGATGAAAATTTTGATGATATGCTGGACCACATTACCAACAGAGATCAGAACATAGTAAGCCTGACAGCAGTTAGGGGTAGTGAGCCCAGACCTGCTGATTTAAACATAGGTTATGTATGTGATCAACAAGTTCCTCTAGGCAATGTTGGAGAGGCCACTGCTCAAGGAAATATGCCCTAGAGGCAATAATAAATTTGTTATTTATATTTCCTTATATCATAATAAATGTTTATTATTCATGCTAGAATTGTATTAACCGGAAACTTAATACATGTGTGAATACATAGATAAACAGAGTGTCCCTAGTATGCCTCTACTTGACTAGCTCGTTAATCAAAGATGGTTAAGTTTCCTGGCCATAGACATGTGTTATCATTTGATGAACA